ATAAACATGCTTTTCCCTCAGAGATTTCTATCTTGCTTCTTAGAACCACTAAGGACAAGACTGTCGCTGACAATGTACAACCTTTCTTGGAAGTTTTGAAAGAAACTCCATGTCAATTTTTTATTGGTTGTATTGACATGGCTTGCAAAGATATATAATAATCACTATAATGTGCACTTTCACCACAATATGAGTACTCTGAATTAAATTTGAGTACAGTGTTGATTTAGTTTTATTCCTGGCAACATAAAATGTCTTGGCTCGACTATATACTCTGATAAATGGTGTTTTCATCAGCTCTCTCCATCAGGCATAAGACCATGGCGCTATTTATATGGTTGGTTTCCTGCTATTCAGAGGCAGAGAGGCTGTCGCAAGAGAAAGATCTGGCTAGGATTCAGGTAGTCCATCATGACCGACAGCTCCAATCCAAAGTCTTCCTTTTGATTCATCCAACAGTCATCTCTTACTCCTCATCAATGCTGCAGTTTCCTGCACAGACTATTTATACTCTGAGGAAGAGATGGAGTCCTAAAATAACTCAGTTTTTCTTTTGTTGACTTCTTATTGGAAATCATGTAATCACTATGTGATTAGGTTGTTAGGGATACTGGTCTTTGATTGATGTTTGCTTGGAACCGTCTAATGCAAAACACACTGCTCCAACAGTTTGGCGATTTCTCCATAACCAGGGGTATTCATATGAATATACAGTGTATGCCCAAAATCAAGGAATACTGCACAATGTACCAAAGTGACTGTGAAAGGGAACATTAGGTGAAACACGATCGGCTGAAGTCTCGTGCAGCAGCATAAGGCTGCTCTGTCTCCGTCTGCAGTTAAAACGTGAGCCGTGGATGGAGCAATTGCCCAGGCAGCAGATGAGACTTCCAGCTGAGCCAACCACAGCGTTCCTCTGGGTTTTTTAATGGTAGAGTACAGCTGTGTTACCTCCACTCGCTGGAATGTGAGAAAAACGGAAAAAGTGACACGCATATACAAAGGCAGTTGCCAAACAACTAAATTGAGCTCCTCCATGAGCTCACAATAAAGTCAACAGATTTCTACTCACATGTGGCAAAAACCACCAAAACATGGACATGCTCACATGCTTCTTTCATTCCTGGGTATAAAAAAGGTTTTGTTTTGGGTTGAAATTCAGAACACTGTGTGATGTAAACTCAAAGAAAGATGTACAGATCCCAAAACATCGAGCTTTCTCTCAAACAAATGTTTTAAAGAGGAAAAAAGAGGTATGTGATGGTCTAGTGATTGAGAACAACGACCCTATTTTAAGATCCTTTTGACAACTCTATTTTGCTTTGGCCCATTACATTGAGCTGCCTCTCAAAATGTTTAGCCTGAGGAAACAAATTCGAGTTTAACACAATTTTTGACCAAAACTGAAAGATGAAGCTCTGAGCTTTTTGTGTTATCTAAAAACCACCTCCAAACTACTTCTAGAGTGGTGTCCCACAGGGCTCCATACTAGGTCCTCTTGTACTCTTTTTTCTCATCAATGACATGCATTTAACATCAAATGAGGCTTAATTTTATGTGCAGATGTTGATGTTGGTCTAACCATCAAAGTTTGGTCTTTAAGTTGTTTACATCCCTATATTTGCCCATTTTTTCTGCCTCCAACACATTAACTTGAAGAACAAAATTTTTGCCTGTTGCCTTACATTTCCCACCCACTAGGAGGTTTTTGCGTCAAAGAGATAATGACCTTCTACTCATTTCACCTGTCGGAGGTCTTAAATTTTCACATAGTCATTAAATTAAAAAAATTAAATTAAAGTTTCTTGAAACAAGCTTAATTGTGTTGTGAAATGGATCCCATCTTTAGCTGTTTATAGTTTTGCTGCTCCAGCGATGAATCTCCTCCTCTGTTCTTTGTACAGGGCTGAGCTGATAACAGCCAATGTCCATTTCTCCTCCAAGGCTAACTTACAGCAGTTATTATTTTGGGTAATTTGCTGTCCTTGTAAATCAAATTTGCAAATTCAAGTGACGGATAAGAAGTTGTCTGAGAGAGGGAGAAAACTGCACTTTGTTTTCGAACCAGCAAATAAAACTTCAGAATAATAAACATTTGAAATTCAGAGCACCGTCAAACAAAACAGTAGTGGACTGAAATAAACTGTATTTCGGCTAATTAAGAGGTCTAAGTGACCACTCAAGGTGAATAGCATTTCTGAACACATCTTAATGCTGCTTATTCTGCAGCCAGTCTCGGCTTATACAGAATAAGAGGCTTGGCAAATCCTGAACAGGTCAACAGTTAATAAAAAGGTGAACACATAACAGACCAACCATTCCCAATATAACATACGCTTGTAAGCGGTCAGGCTTCAGCCTCTTTGACGTCACTGGGGTACCTGAAAACCCCAGGGGGGAAAACGTCACATAAAATGGCTCCAGCAGGTCTGAACCCTTGAGACTACTGTGTTAGTTACTCAAGCAAAACTGAGACGCCAGACAGGTTTCTGTACAATCTAATCCCATTCGGTTTGCTGGTGCCCATTTGGCTCATCCTCTCCACATCTTTGTTGCCTTTTTATGCCCGTGACGGGGGTGCAGTAGTTTATTTTTTATTGTTTTAGGAGAGTCTGCCCACAGTCATTTAAATGGTAATTCAGAAAGTCATCTGTCTCATGACCCTGATGACAAACAAGTCAATGAAAGGTCAATACCACGCTTTGTCACAGACCAGTGGTTACAAGTAGGATTAGAGATCAAGGCTGACCGTTTCAGCTGATCTCATAGGAGACAGATGTTCATTTAACAGACTTTGGTAGCAGGTCTCCTCGGGGACACAGGGGACGATGTTGGTGTGCAACATGCGAACCAATATGCATGAAAACAATAGGGGGAATATTGAAAATGTGGTGAAGACAGAAAGAAGATAAATTAGGGAGAAAACACAAATAGCAAATAAAGTGCTTTTGTCGTTGCTGTTGTTGTTGTTGTTGCTGTTGCTGTTGTTGTTGTTGTTGTTGTTTTGGCTGGACTGGATCCTTTCCCTGTAAAAAATCATTTACCAAGAGTGTGTTTGTTTTCAAAGGGACATAAGCTGATTGGTTTCACTGTTGCATGTCAAATAAAATGACAGATTTTACCAAAAAATTTAGCATACAGACTGCTCATGTTCTCCAAAGTTAGATTAACTCTTTAATACAAACATTAAAAAGTATGACGTTCTGTGAATCCTTTACATAAGCAGTAAAAAGTATTACATGGTGTTCAAACTGTTTTGAGCATGTCCTAGGGAAATTTAATATTCTGGAAAATATAATCCCACAAAACTACAATATGTTTGTTTTATACTTATGTTTTTGACTGTATCACAAATAAGATAGAAGCTGCCGTTGAGCAAGTTTGACAAGTTTTGCAGATTTAAACATTTGTGACAAAGTAAGGCCAGCTGACTTCTGTCACAGCTTTGATTCCCTTTTTCTTTTTTGGCAGGCTAAAGGTGAAACTATTGCAGTGCATATTGCTGATTAAAGTATCATATCAGGTATCAAATTTGGTTTTATTCTTTGTCTTTGCCTGTAAGAAGAGGACTTGTTGTTGCTGCTTTTACACCCACTGTCTCCTTGTCCAGGGGTGGCTGTACTTAAGGGGCTGCTATAGCTCAGAGGTAGAGTGAGTCATCTCCCAATCTGTTGGGATTTGTGGTTTGATCCCACAGTCACATGTAACAGTGTCCTTGGGCAAGACACCAAACCTCAACTTGGCAAAGCTAATAGCATCAAATGTGAATGAAATGAAATGAGTGAATAAGATTGTGGGTAAATTTGACGAATCATGTAAAAATGCTTTGAGTGGTCAAAAAGACATGAAAAGTACGTGTCCCTCAGACATTTATGCTGGTGTTTTATACATGCACTCATCTTCCTTCACTCTTTACATACTGTTTGTGCATGAAGAGATTCATTGCAAATCTCAAGGTTTTAACTCCATACTGCTGTGGTTGGTCTGCCTGTATTATCCTCCTGCAGACAAAATCACTGGCATGTCATATCTGTCACAAGCAGTTCTTAACTTACTTTCCTCTTATGTAATTTCATGAACATGGAAAGTCCTGGAGGCTATTCTTGATTTTTGCAACCTGTTTGTAAGATGTAATTCTGCTCTCTGTGCCTGGAGTGTGTTCTGACAGAAGGGGAAAAATGGATTTTAGGTATGCTGCTCAAACAGGTAGGGCCTCGGGGAGCTGTTCTGTTTAAGCTTTTATTTAATTTGAAGGATTTGTAGAAAAAATCAACTGTTTGTAGTCGTTTAAGTGGCTAAAGATATCTTGACCTAAGTTTGTAGCTAGTTTTAAGGGGCTGTTATCGATTTAAGTCTGAGCACTCCTGCAAGCAAGTTTTTTTTCTTGTTTGTTTTGTTTTTTTCTGTTCATAAGTTGTTTCCCGGTGAATCTAGTTAAATTTATACTCAGTCTAAATCCCATGCAAATAAATGCTTTCCTAATTTGACAAAAGGACAACACAGTAAAGGCCTGCTTTCAGTAACCAGTACATTAAATTAAAACCTTAGGATGTTTTTCATTTTGGTTTCCCTGTGCTCACAGTGCCTTCAGCCGTAATATTAATAGTTCAACACATCTAAATCACTGACCAATCAAAACCAAGAGGTGGCAGGACTTCCTTGTGAACAACAATGGCAGGGATAGGGGGAGAAGCTAACCACACTGATACCTAAAGGGTACTTTTTGCTGTTGCAAACACAATTTCTCAGAATATTTTTTAAAACATTTTGTTTATAAAATTTCATCAAACAAAAGCTAGTTTTGTTAATAAAGCATGTGGGACATTTTAAAACACACTTAACAGGCACTATGAAGGGCAGCAGATAAATAGCTCAGCAATCAAGGTTACAAGTTCTGTCAATTCAAAAAGGCTGTCGGTGGACACAGGCCCCTTGAAGACAAACGTTGCTCACTCTGCCAAACGCTTCAGAAAACTCAGAAATAACATTGATTTTCCTGCATGGTTCCTCCCTGCCCCTTTAATGCACCCACCCACCGTCTCTTCCCTCCTCTGCAGAGAACCAGCTGCTGCCCCACACCTCCATCTGAACGAGGGACCATCCCCAGAGAGGAAGAGAGGGGATGGAGTGACACAGAGAGGTGGAGAAAGAAGGGTCGACAGGATGGAAGGAGGGAGCGGATGGGTGCGACTAGACGCTGGGGGTCAGAGGTTGAGACTGCATGTGGCGAGATGTTTTGTGTTCAATCCCCCTTCGCCATCGCAACCTCTGTGACACAGCACACGTTTATCGCCCAGTGTGGACTCCGGGGTCCCCTCCCCAACACAACACACCCACAGATCTTTCATGGTCTCTAGAGATCCTGTCACACACACTCTCCTAACTACTTTTGTGGGTCTCAGTCCAACAGACCCCCATCCATGCACTCATTACAGGTCTTAACCACAGACATATGATATAGGTTTGGGGTTTAACAGCAGAGTCAGGGTCAGAGCCCAAGGGAGAGAAAACCCCCAACCCCAAACTCCACCTTCGGCTCACACCAGCCCACGGGGAGAGATAAGACATAATCACTCTATTCAGTCATCCTCCTTAAACACCCACCACCCGAAACATGCCTGTGTCTCTCCCTTGTTTGCGAAAAATTGTGAGTCCTGCTTTTGACACATCTACAGAAAAGGCTGCACTACCTCAGGTTGTCTTTTAGAGAGATACACAGGCAAAATTAGCTGCTTTTAGTGGACAGAAAAGATACACAACACTTATACTAACAATTCAAGACCACTCACAATGTATTTGAGTTAAAATAAAACACCATCAGGCTTTCATATCAAAACATCATTTTCAGTGCAAAGAAGATTTAACATCCACAAAACACGTTGATCTCAAATTTGAAAACAATGATTGTTGCACTAAACTGACAAAAATAAACTTGCCACCCTCTTAAGTCAGCCTTGAAATCACTATAGTTGGTTGAACCAATTATTAACTTTTTTGTAATTGTCTTATGTTGTGTCTAAATTCTGTTTTTTAGTTATATTGGAGTTTCTGACACCTTCATTAAAACTGCATACTTGAGCAACACTCCACCAAGATGCTTGCTGGCAATGCAATTTCTGTGTGAGTCATTTGGTTTTTGGTCCCGATATCGCCTCTGCTTGTTTGTGCAGGAGTCCATGGCAACTGAATCTGTGCATATCATGTAGGAGTTGGAGCTGATAAATTTTGAGCATCAGCTGATGATACTGCAGGGGGTGGAAAGTCTGGTCACTGTTTTGGTGTAGGCAGAGGACAGTGACACTAAAATTTGTTGCTAATGCAGGACATTTTGGAGTTGTAGCTGATCATACTTAAGTAAGAACAAAGTAGAGAAGAGGACACGTCCAAGAAGAATTAACATGTGACTGCTGAATCAACGGTAACAGACATGTCGTAAAAGCAGGACGAATGACTCTCATCACAGGACTTGGGGTCTTAGGTGTTTAGATGCATAGTCACATTGTGTGCTGCAACATAAATTAAAAGCAGAAGACTAAATCAGGTTTTAACTGCTGCAATGCTACAATACTCTACAACCAGAATTAAAACAAACACAGATGACCAATTATACCTCCCAATAGAGTCCAACAGTACTTGGAGATAAAGTTGTATGTAGGCGGTGTCTGGTTAAAATGGCAAGGCATGTGGACATTAACCTTCAATGAGGATCTAAAGGGGTGTTCAGACCAAACGCGACCTCGGCGACCTCGGCGACGGCTCCCAATGCAAAGTCTATGGACAGCCGCAACCTGACGTGACTTGGCGACCGCCGGCTGCCTGCGACGCGACCTGAAGCGACTTGGCGACCAGGTCGCTAAGTCGCGTCGCCAAGGTCGCAGGACGCCACGTCGCGTCGCTGCCAAAGTTCAAATATTTGAACTTTGGGAGCGACTATCCGCGACCCCGTGCCGCGACAGCCAATCAGGGCTCTGCTGACGTCAACAAACCGGCGAAACAAGGAAGAGGAGAAGAAGAATCACAATGGAGGAGCAGTTAATCACATCCGTTAGCTACCACCCGGTGCTATACAACGTGGGTTGCGGGCTTGTGGGTACCGGGACTGCAACACCAAAGAAGAAGCATGGGGGAAGGTGGCCCGTGATGTCGGGCTTTCTGGTAAGCTTGTTTGTTTATTTATTTATTTCAGTGAGCAGACTGTTTTATGAAAACATAGCTAACTGCCCCTGCTTGCTAGGCTACATGTTTCAACGTATGTGTGTGTGTCTTTGCAGTGGATGTGTGCCGCAAGCGGTGGAAGGGGCTTAGGGACGTCTATATGAGGGAGAGGACGTTCATAACTTTCATGGATGACGTCACCGGCGACCAGCCGCGACCTGCGACTGCAGCTTTGGACCCGGTGTGAACACACCAGAGCACCCCGCGACGCGACGTGACCGACCAAAGCGACGCGACCAGGTCGCGTCGCGTTTGGTCTGAACGCCCCTTAAGAGTGGAGGTGGTAACTCTGCTAGTATAAATAACAAAGACTGTATATAGAATGGACGCCGTCTGTCTCCTTGCTGGAGAACCACACCCTCTGGTGACAGACTGCAGTAAAGGTCATAAATCCCAACTCCTCCAGCAATCCCTATGGAGCTGTGGACAAACTTTAGAAATTAATTACACAGAATATAAATGTTTCTCCCCCCGGTTGCATTGTTGACATGTAGTTACTGTAAGACTGGTTTGGGCTCTGGTCATCTTTTTCTTTGTGCAGCTCCATTTTTAAAGTTATGAGGGGGTTCAAATTTTCTATGATTGACACTTGATACAGCCTATGGGTGTATAAAGAGTGCATAGCTCACCCGGGGATACACTATTTGAGCCGAGCATCATCACAGCAACTCACCCACCAAATGTGTACAACACTAATTCTCAAGTGGCAGTTTAAGGAAGTGGAGAAAATCCCGAAATTACTGAGAGCAATTCGGCTTCAAATTTGTATAGCCAAGTTGTCCATAGTAAATACAGTCTATAGAAAACTTGTGCTCAATTTGGACTGTTTCTCAGATTTTTCTAAACAAAAATTTATCTTATATTACACGACTGAAAAATTAGCCCCCTTAAAATATTAAAACTTAAGTCCAAGTCTATCAGATGTGAATAGTAAACTACCTCCTAAGCACTTTGAAAATAAGCAAAGAGAGTGTTATCTCTGGTAATACCCATCAGCCAATATGACTGCAATTCAGGATTTTTTTTTTTCATGTGTTCTCAACATTTTATTTGTGTAACTGCAAAGCTACTCCCATGGCTGCTTTCTTGCCTTAATGTTGAAAACAAGCTATAAAAGCTTTCGTAAAGAAATTGGCTCAATAGAAGGGTGTGGCGTGTGGTGTATTTTGTGGACCCAGAAGCAGAAACAGACACAGATAGCAAGTTAAACAATGTAATTTTAATATCCAACTCAGGGAAAAAGGCACAAGAGAAAGTCCGGTCTGCTGGCTGGCTGTTGTTTGGGCTGGAGACACTGTGGAGAAGCAGTGGAGATGGAAGTGAGAAGACATACAAAGAATCACCGGGAGCAAAAAGTCACAAGCACTTATCCGAGGAGAAGGCCAGGAGAAGCGTCTGTACCACTCAGGAGTGAGGACAATACTCAGGCGCTGAGATTGAGGGCTGCTGGCCTCTTCAATGGCCTTGATTGCAGATGCAGCACAGGTGTGGAGTTTCTCTCAGCCTCAACGACCGGGGGGAGGGGGAGTGCTCTGAAAGACAGTCAAGCCAGACCAGGGACACAAAGAGAACAGAAAGTTTTACTAAAATAAAGCCGGAGATGGAGGCATCTCACCACAAAGGGTTTATAAAAAAGGGGTTATGGTGATTTCCCTTCCCTCCCTCCTCATGTTGTTCAAAGCACCAACATCTACTCTGTTCTCTGTTTTTTTTTCTTATGGGGATGAGATTTATATCGTAGAAAACTAATTTGTTGTGTTGGCAATGTTGGGATTCAACCATTAACTACATGAACTGGTATGTAATATTACATGAAATTAAATTGAGCAAAAAAGTGCTCATGCACCTTATAGATATACACACATGCACATCAGACACACACATACAGACTAAAAAAATGAGCACATTGGGTTATTAACCTTATAAATGCACTGGATGTGTTTTCATTGGTACCTTTAGTTTCATCCTTTTAAAGCTCCATCCATCCAACAATTACAACATAGTTATATCAAAAGTTACCAAACAAGTTTACTTCCAATGGTGTGGTGTGCAGTGATTTTCTTCACATTAGTCAGTGCTGAGCTGTAAGCATCTGCAAAATTAAAGAAAAACCTGGTTGAATGGAATTCTACAAAATAAAGCAGATATTACACATATTACACTCAGCAAAAAGAAAATGCTTGTTTTTCTGGACATCAGGGGCCTCATGTATCAACGCTTGCGGCGCAAGAAAACCTTGCGTACGCCAAAATCGGCGCACACGTCCAGATTTATCATCGCGAAACGAGCGTCGGTTCCAGCGCTAATCAACGCAAAGTCAGGAGGTGGTGTAGAAATTGGCGTTGAGCTGGATATTTGCGTTGACTGTGATTCGCACTTTGGCGACGCTGTGTGGCGGTGTTTGGTGACTCACTATGTGACCAGCGTGCACCACATCCCCGTAGCCGGGCAGCACGTCGCCCCACATGACGAACCAGCAGCAGACGGAGGGATGCGAGCTGATCCCTGCCGGGCCGCCGTCCTCGCGCGGGAGAATCTCATCGCCACAGTGTGAATGGGTAAGAAGTGAATACACAGTTCAATGAGCCAAATTAATTTATTTTCTCCACCAGACGCTCGAGGAAATTTACGAGCCGGTCCAGCCGCTCGTTGATCCCCGCGATCCCCCTGATGATTTCTTCCTGCGATTGCAGGACCCCCTCCGCGAGGACCCTTCCACTGCGTCCGGGTGGTCCAGCGGAAGCGCCGCGGCTGGTGGACGCTCCACCGCTTGTCGGCGCGCTGGTGCTGATGCTGGTGCTGGGGCCGGGGGCCGGGGTGGCCCGAATGCCGCTGGTCCTGGCCGACGACTCCGAGCCGGCGGACGGGCTGCCGCGGGCCAGGGTTCCGCAAGCCGGCGACACGGCCGACACATTAATTTCTGTGACACAATAAAAATATTAGTTCATTTCAATTCCTGCTTCTGTGTATCTGTTGCGTTTACATCTCTCTCCACGGTATCATAGGTAATGTAATCCAGTATTTCGAGGTCAGTTATGCACATTACAGTTGTTTATTGCATAAAAAGTTATCGAAAAATGAAGTTAAGGGCGAAGTATAAATCACGTCTAAAAATAGACTGAATCCCGACGTTGAAATGAAG